TGGTCGCCCAATTTCGAATGCATGCCATTTCATCGGTGTCACGGTGACATGATTGCACAGTGGAAAGACGGACGCTGAAGTCCTGCTGCCGAGAATGTCACTCATACGAAACCACTGGCTTACGAAAGGAGGAGCGGTAACTCTGTATTGCCGAAGCGGCCTACAGCGCGAGGCCGTTGCGGATTCAGACTCTACACCGGAAATGGACCGCCATCTTACGACAGCTTTAAGTTGCAGTCTAAAGTTAAAGTGCGCTCATATCCTTGTCATGGGTGATTTCAACCTACACTGTTCAGAAACACACGCTACAATCGGAGAACCATTCAAAGCAGATGCGAAAGAGCTTATAACCACTGCGCGACGTTGCTACCACCTCATTATGCCCACTCTTTTCAGAACAAGTAATAGAGACCATCTTTGCTGCATCTTGTATTCACCAACCAACAAGTTTGATGGATGTAGTGGTTGTAGAATACCTTCTGAGTCGTAGTGATCATGCACTCATCAGTTTCGACTTCATCTGCAAGGTAGAATATCACCATCAGAAGACTGTGATGGTGCGCACCATAACGCGCTACGACAGCTTGGCCCAGCAGGTCAGTGCCACAATCTGGTCGTTCTTCGCTGAAGGCCACCCGAAAGACATTTGGTTTAAATTCGTCAGCAAATTCAAGCAACTGTTTAAGGAAGCCTCACAGACAAGGGTTTGCAATGGGTCCAAAACCGTTTCTTTCGTGAGAAACAGAACTAGAAAATGGATCGCTGTGTGTAACTCAGCATGGCGAGTGTATAGATCATCACCAACGCTAGATACTTGCGACAACAACCCATACTAACCACTGCAATAAACGGCTGAGAGATGACAAAGTCGCAAGTCAGCAGAATATGGCAAAAACTTTCAGCGCTAACCATAGACTGCTGTACAAGTACGTCAATGGCCGTAGTAAGGTGAGGCAAGGAATTCCTCCGCTCCGGATGACTGATGGTCCAACTAGAGCAGCTATAGAAAAAGCAAAGGTGTTGCGGACGCAATATGCTTTCACGTTTCAGAAAGTCTTATTAGCAGACCATCTTCTAAATGTCGTTTTCTCGCCTTCAGGACTCACAGCCATTTCTTTTACTGCCGAAGTTATTTTTCAGAAGCTGATGTCTCTGCAGAATCATTCGCCCACAGGTACAGGGAGCAGCAAGCAACACAAATGGCAAATTCTTTGGCCCAGTTCTTTCAGCACTGCTTAGACCAAAACCAGATTCCATGATGTGGAAGCTTGGAATAATAACTCTGATTCACAAAGGCGGAAGCAGGACTGAGCTGGCAGATTATCACCCAGTGTCTCTTATCTCTGTATTATCCAAAGTCATGGAATCCATCCTTGTCAATGCGTTGGTGTGTTATCTAGAAAATTGTAACCTTACTGCAAGTGAGCAACATGGCTTTCGTCGACAGCGATCGTTCACAGCAAATTTAATAATTGCACGGAGTAGTTGGATCAAGTCAGCTGACGCTAGAGAGGCCACTGACCTGATCTACTTGAATTTGTTGAAGGCATTCGGTCGTTTAAGTCATCGGATTCTCCTTTCCAAGCTCCAACTTTAGGCGATCGGTGACGCACTCTTGAGTTGGATCGCCAACTTTCCCTTGCAATGACAATTAGTGGTCTGAGTCCGGAGTTCTTTATCTTAGCCTATACCAGTCGAGTCTTTTATGCCCTGGAGCTGTCTTACGTCCATGATTGTTGTTGGTATTCATCAATGCCGTCGCGCGGAAAATCGCTTCAAACTTCCTGCTATTTGCTGACGATAACAGGATATGACGCAGGGTTCAGGCAGATTCCGATCAGAATTTAATTTAGTGCGACCTAGATATGGCACATGAGTGCGCAACCCGAAATCTGTTAGTTCAACGTGGTCACATGCGAGGAACTCTCCATAAGACATCAGAGTACCTATTCCTACATGCTAAGAACGCAAGTATTGCAGCGATCGTCTGTCGAACGCGACCTTGGCGAGCTTGTTCAGGATAACGTGGGTTGTTCCAAGCAATCCGCAAAGGCATCGAAAGCTGGTAACCAGCACGTCGGCTTGCTACGACTGGCGTTCGAACAAATAGACACCGCTATTTTCAGACAGATGCTGAATGCGTATGTTCGTCCTCATGTCAAATACGTAATCCAAGCCTGGCAATCATGGCTGAAGCAGGACCTTCCTGCACTGGACCAACCTCAACATCGGGCTTCTAAATACATCATTGGAATGTGCCACCTTCCATACGAGCAGAGGTTGAAACCTTTGGGAGTATTCAGCCCGCGGTATCGCCGACAGCGTGACAACTTGATCATGGCGTAGTTGATGTTACGCAATCCAAATCACGTGTGTCACTCTTTACGTTGCAGTAACACCAAACTTAGAAGCCACTCCTTGAAATTGGCAGGACAGTACAAGCGTCTGGAATTTCGTAGCAATTTCTTTTCCATTCTTGTGTGTCAACAATAGAATTCTCACCCGAATCCTTTGTTTCTGCGTCCACGCTAGCCATAGGACACTCTGCCCACTACCACTACTACTCTGCCTGTGCTACGCGCATATAATGCTCGGATAATATATATATTTTTCGGGCACACTTGTTCTAACTAAACTGCCCCAAAGGGCACATCCATCAACCGATCCGAAGGTACCTTTGATGTCGAGGAACACGACTACGGTGGGCCGCCAATATGTGTGACGGCGCTCCAACAATTGACGTAAAGTGAAGATGTGGTCGATGCAGTCCCGATGTTGACGAAACTTGGCTTGCCCTTCACGAATCTGGCTTACACGAGCGCCAGTCATTTTGTGAAGGATTACAGAGGCAAGTAATTTGGAGGCGATGGGGATCAGACTGGCAACTGCATTACATACGATAATTCCATTCTTTTGATAGTGGAACTCCTAACTACGTTTTTTCATTAGCGTTTTTTGATATACCACGAGACTACCCAACGGGGCTTGTAAAGCAGTGCTTCTTAATCCGTAGCAAATCATTGTTCATTGTGCATTGTACAACTTAAAGAATGATTGGGTAATGATGCAAAGACTTGATATGATGTGCAACAGCTTCCAGCTGGTGATGACTGGTCCAATTGGGACGGTCGGATTATTCACGCCTTCATGACTTGGATACTTAATGTAGACACGCCTCTTTCGTCCTGAATGGCGAAAATTACTTTTCATCTTTGCGATGAATCAGCCTAATTCCGAAGAGAAGTTAAGAAGAGTCTCTCCAATGAAACTGATGCAATGGGCAGCACATCCTATCTAAACTGCATTCTCACAAACGATTTTAATGACATATCGGTAGCATGTTGCCATATAACTAGCGCCCCCGTACACGAAAGCCGTCATGGGACTTAATTCGATACCAATCATTGACAATCTGCGCAGACTAGCTTCTCCAACAGTGGCAGAATTGACTCTATCCAAGTTGACCGTGTCGATGAGGTATACTTGTACGCACCTGCTGGACTGCAAAGGGGAGTCTAATAGAATGTGCAGTTCTATCTTCTCGCTATCCTCAGCTATTTCGTCCTTTATTACGTTGACAAATGTCTCATGGAACATGTCTTTCAATACCTGACAATGTTGCCCGTATAGCTGATGAATTTTCACACGTAATGCGTTAGATCCAGCAATGCTTCCACCATTTCGTATGTGTTTGTGAAGAAAATCCCATCAATCGGGAGTTGTTTACCTTCTCTATACGAATATTAGCTGATACCATACTAAGCACAAAAGTCAGCTAACATTATGTCGCCTGCATCCTGGGCAGCATTTACAAAGGCAATGGAACTAAGGATGCTTGCTTGTCGAGCTTTGTTTGAAGTTAGTTGCACCTAGGCAACAAGTTCAGCTGCTTGCTCCTTCTTGTGAGCTTTCTTCCGAAGATACTTCTGACTGCGTACATGCACAAACACGGTTAATTTCGCGATTACTCCACGGTCAGTTCACACGAAGAACAAAGCATTAACTTAGCATCTGTGGTATCGACGTAGTATTCTCCGGGAAGCTCCTTCAGTCTGTCCATTACAGTTTTTCCCCAAAATGCTATTGCATTTCCTTAGTCAATAACTGCAAAAATTAAGACGCCTCGATTGTATTGATTATATAAAAGTAAATTCAGATCTGTTTTATTTACGAAATTTCATTATTTTCCGCGATTTGCGAAATTTTTCCTTTTCCGCGAAATGCATTAATTCTAGCTTTTTGCGGAAGCGTTGAGAACTTGGGATTGTTATTCTGTTTAGTCACTAGGCATAGAACGTATTGTGAATGGTGGTGGTTAATCACTGGCAATTACAAACCGATGGGAGATTGAGTGAATAACACTGAGGCCCTCTGGCTAGTGTTTACCTGCCTGCTTGGAATTAAAGTGGATAATCTGTCAAACCTAGCTGGCCTACGCAGGCCAGGCCACGCTGTGTGCGCATGCAAACTGTTTGTTTGGGGTACTGTATTTATGGCTGTTCTACCTTGCTGTGTAATGATCTTGTGTGGTTTAGCAGTCGGAAGACAAAGCTGCATGCATCGATCGATCAAAGAGATTGGCTACAGTGGCTGGCGTTATCTTGGATGTGCCCGAGATAAGACAAACGAGAATTGAGCCTTGTGTCATCTGTGACATAAATGATGTAGATGTGCATGTTTTGGAACAGCGCTGTTCGGATATGAACTTACTTTTACATTGCTTTGCTTCAAGTCTTTCTATGTCTTCATTAGATCTTGCTGTCGAAATGAATCAAACAACAGCTAATGCATTCACGGTGCCTAGATTTTCGTAATAATGAACTAGCAAAGCTGCTGTTTGTGTGCTAAGGTAGACTTTACACCTTCACTTCACTAGCGCATTTGGTTACAGAGATTTCTGGAACTACAGCCTCACCCCACGCAGGTGGTTGGATTTCGGTAGCATAGCGGAGTGTAATTTTGCAGCGCAAGTCAAGGATGTACTTGGAAATATCAACCAC